ATCCTAAGAAGATTTGCAGAGTTTGACATGTTACAAGACATTGAAGTAGACTCCGAAGGAGAAGTTATTCAGTGTGCAATGTTAGTAGACTTTGAACCCGTGAGTACGGAAGAGGCTCTTAAGCAGCAAGCACTACAAAAAAAACAATTTTTGGTAGCGCATCTACGAAAGCGCTTTTAAGAGAAAGCGCTTTCGTAGCCTTTAAAAAAAATTCGCTTAAAAAAAGCGCTTTTATAGGGTTTCCTACGAAAGCGCTTTTCAGAAAGCGCTTTCATAGGTATTTGAAATATCTAACCTACGAAAGAGCTTTTGAAAAGCGCTCTTATAGGTGGCCCTATAAAAGCGCTTTTGAAAAGCGCTCTGAAAGGGGGACCTACGAAAGCGCTTTCTAAAGCGCTCTTATATGGGGGGCATACGAAAGCGCTTTTTACCTCAGAAGCGCTCTCATATGGGGGGCATACGAAAGCGCTTTTAAAAGCGCTTTCATAGGTTGTTTTTATAATTAAATTAAAAATCCCTAAATCTGATATTTACCCTCAGATTCGTTCGTTCAGTCTTCTTCATTTCTTCGTCTTCTTCATTTCTGCCGTCTTCGTCGCCGCCGCCGTTCGTTCCGTCTTCTTCAGTCGTCGCCGCCGTTCGTTCCGTCTTCTCCATCTTGGTAAGTTTCTTCTTCTTCCATTATCTTCTTCCATTATTTGTTCATCTTATATTAAACAAAAACCTACATCTTGAACAAGCTTAACCTACATTTCTGTTTCGCCTTAAATTGGTTCAATGAAATTCATTGTTGTGTTCTTGGGAGTTTTGGGCTAGCTTTTCTTCCAGTATTGATTATGAGTAATGTTTAAGGAGGGATGGTAAATGTTGCTTCCACGGCCAAGGTTTAGTTCCAGTTAACCATAGAATTAATTATTAGATTTGGACGGTTCAGATTGGCTTATGCATGATAACTTTGGGTATTGGCTGCGTGAAAATGGGGTTTATTGGGGATAGTTAGTCTCATTGTTAGATGGTATGATTATTTTTATTAAGGAGTGGAACAAGGACATATTTGGAAAACATTTGTTTATAAGGTGATGATGATAATTAGGAATGAAATTATGTTGGATGTTCATGAGTTAGGTTAAACTTTGGATTGTTGAATTGAACAAAGTTTTAATTTCATGAGTAAATTTGACATTGAATTGAATATTGGGGTGTGATTCTTGAAGTTGACTTGTTAAACAATTATATGATTCTTGAATTGTGTTGAACTTTATTCTTGAAAATTCATGATATATTTGAATTATTGAATATGCATAAGTCTTGATTTCTTGAACAGTGTAAAAAGGATGAAAAGAGGAATAGGTTGATTGATGAGTATCTTTGTTTTAGAACAAGAGTCTAGAGTATAAATGTTAGATTCATGTTAGTTCATGGCTGTTGGTATCAAATCATGGTGAATTGGTGAATTTGATGTTGAATCCGGATAAATTTTGTTGATAACTTTTGGATGTCGAATTATACCGGAACTCTTGAATACCTTGTCAATTGAACTTTAAAATTGTTTGATGCCTATTCTTGCATTTTGTTACGTTTGTGGATTAATGCGATTGAGTTACACCGTTTTTGTTGAGGTTTTTCAAGCCACTCTTTATTGAGGTATAAGGTTGTCCGGTATTAGAAGACCATGAAAATTGTTCAATTAATTATTTCTAATCGTTTAGAATAGTTTGTTTTGGTAATTGTCAAACACCAGTACCATTTCAATTGATTTCAGAACTAATTTTATGTGCGTTTTTGTGAATAAAATATGTTGTCCGGACTTGGTTCCATGTACATATTTCGCCTTAATTTTCCGTTTGACATTTATCCGCATTTAATTGAATCTTTCGTGAATGTTAATGCTTAATTTTCTTGTTTCCGTTAGCAACTTCCGATTAACTTGTGTTATGATAACAATGCTGCCCCATTTCTAGTCTGAGTATCTTAAACCATTTCATCCTATTTCCATATGCAATGTGATATATGAACTTGTTACTAAAAATATGGTGAATCGTGTGAAGCATTTATTTAATTGTATCAGTTCATCGCATCAACCTTATGTTGACTTTGTGAATTCACTATTTCTAATATTTGTGTTGTATTATTGTCATAGCTTTCTCAAACATTGAAAATATATATGTGACATTTATTGTGAACCTTTATGTTAAAATAGTATATATCTTTCGACAATCGATCCGAAATATTGAATAACATTCTATGAAATTGCAGCATTTCCCGGCCTAGTTCGACGTACGACGCTCATTCTCCGCGTTTCTTAGAGTTCGAAACATCTGAGAGGTAACTTTCTTCCTCAAATTACTGGTATATATTGTGATGAATTTGTCTTAAATTGTCTTTCGTATGTTGCATTTTCTTGATACGGATTCATTCCGTGTATACTTTGCATTTTGACAGAAACACAGTATACTACTGTTTTGTGCACTAATTAGTTGATATGGATAAGACATGGATGTATTCCAATCGATTATCGAAAGACTACGAGAATGGTGTTTCCGAGTTTGTTAAGTTTGCTGTTGCGCACGCCAAAGACCTCAGTCGTATGACATGTCCCTGTTTGTATTGCTGTTATGGGAACCGGGTTGACGCAGTTCAGTTGGCATCGCATTTAATTCGGTATGGAATTGATAGGAGTTATACATGTTGGAATATGCATGGTGAGAAAAGTAACGGGAATGTTGAATCGAGGTATGCAAGGACCTATGTTTCAAATGATGATTGCACAGATACATACGATTATGATCGAGTCGAAGAAATTGCAGAAGCGCTTGAAGAAGATCTTAACGATTGTCCCAAAATGTTCAAGAGGTTGGTAAGCGATGCAGAGAAACCGTTGTATAATGGTTGTACAAAATTCACAAGATTGTTTGCGGTGTTAAAGTTGTACAACTTAAAAGCCGGCAATGGATGGTCGGATAAAAGTTTCACAGAGTTATTACCCTTATGAAAGATATGCTACCAGAGGATAATGTTCGGTTGACGGTGATTGGACAAATTATCCGGAAATGAAGCTAGTGATTGATACGTAAGTGACATTATTCTAAATATTCGTTTGTGTTTATATATTTAATTATTTCAATGTCATTGTTCTAAATAAATATTTTAATTTTGTCATCAGTTCAATACAAGTATTCTGATGTCAAAGGGGAGCACGAGTACCACGGTCTAGATCAAACAACATTAATTGGATCAAAGTACAGGTATATAAATTTCAACAATTTTGCTTATAACATGCTACTTAATCAATAGATGTGTATAATCTTATTTGTTTTTCTATGTAGTGCCCTCAACAACAAAACGACATAGATTGCGGATACTTCGTTTTGATGTTTATCAAAGAAATCATTCAAATGAATGAAATCGAGATTCCAATCACGGTATGGATTTATACTTTGTTTTATTACTTATCGGATTTTGCATATAATTTATTACATTAAACTAAATCATGCATATATTTTGTTTTGTAATGTAGTATTTTGATCAATACAATTGTCCATATTACTCGCCACGTCAATTGGAAGAACTCAAAGAGGAGTTGTGCCAATATTTTATTGAGCTAAGAATCTTATAATAAGGTACGATTACATTGTTGTGTGAAAATTGGTTAATTATGAATATATTGTTTTGTGTATACAACACTGACCGTGTTATTATGTTCATATTGCAGGATCAGGACCTTGGATATATATGTAGATTAGGATTGATTTACTTAGTGTTATATAGCTGATTTCTTAGGGTGTATTTTGTTACGTTTAAAAACATGTTAATATTGAATTACAATGGTGTATATATATTTTGGATATGAATTGATTATAATGGTATTTGTATATATATATATATATATATATATATATATATATATATATATATATATATATATATATATATATATATATATATATATATAATATTTGGTATTTGAATTACATTTGGTATTTGGATTAAAACTAATATATATTGGTATTTCTAGATTAGATTGTAAAATACCGGTTTAAGAATTACAGGTTTGCTGCAAAAAAATGCAGGTTTAGAAATTTTTTAAATTTTAGATTTTTCAGTAGAAAACCTATGAAAGCGCTTTTAAGAAAAAAGCGCTCTCGTAGGCCTACCTATGAAAGCGTTTTTTTCTTAAAAGCGCTTTCATAGGTAGGTCTACGAGAGCGCTTTTTTCTTAACAAAAAACGCTCTTATAGGCCTACTTTATATGCATTCTGAATACACCTATGAAAGCGCTTTTTCAGAAAAAAGCGCTCTCGTAGGCCTACCTATGAAAGCGCTTTTAAGAAAAAAGCGCTTTCATAGGTAGGCCTACGAGAGCGCTTTTTTCTGAACAAAAAGCGCTGCTAAAACCTTTAGCAGCGCCACCTACGAGAGCGCTTTTAAGCACTTTTAAAGCCCAAAAAAAGCGCTTTCGTAGGTTATTTCTGGCATAGTGAAGTCTGGTTGCAGGCCATGAAAGAAGAACATGATGTTATAGAGAGAAACAAGACTTGGAAGTTGACAGAACTTCCAAGAGGCAAGAATGTCATCAACGTCAGATGAGTTTTCAAACAGAAGCTAAAGCCAGATGGATCAATTGACAAACACAAAGCAAGATTAGTAGCAAGAGGCTTTCTACAGAAGTCTGAGTTGGATTACTCTGAAGTGTTTGCACCTGTAAAACCACAACTTTAAAAAATACTTGTCGAATTTTAAATGTAAATCATAAAAAACTATAGTCTTATATTTCTACTAAGACTTCACCTTAAAATTTCGTTATATATTTAAAAAGAAAAAACTATGGGATATAGTTATTTAAATACTATTTTTTTGTACAGGTCATATGGAAAAAAAAAACAGTTGGATATCATTGTTCTCGTCCAATAAATGAGCAACAAGTTTATGGATGTATAAAGTTACGCAGAGTACATGTAAAATAGATGAACAAGTTAACTCTTTCTAAAATATCTGTGTATATGATGAAGGTTCCAAGTACTTATTCATCAACTAGATTAATATTATTACGTTTCATTCATTTGTTAGTTTTATCATATAGAACAAACTCGTTGCTGAAACTACCACCAAATGTTACTGTTCCTGCAGTCATAGCTTTTGGAGATTCAATCCTGGATACTGGAAATAACAACAACATCACAACTATAGTCAAATGCAATTTCCTTCCTTACGGTCAAGATTTTGAAGGAGGGACTCCAACAGGTCGATTTTGCAATGGCAAAAATCCCTCAGACTTGATAGGTATATTATATAATATATAAAATCTTTTTCTTTAGTTAAATTCTTGGTTTGTAATTCTCATAGCTCACAACTATTTTATATTTTATCAGTTGAAGAATTAGGTATTAAGGAGCTTTTACCAGCTTATTTGGATCCAAATCTAAAGCCAAGTGACCTTCCTACTGGTGTATCCTTTGCTTCTGGTGCTTCTGGTTATGATCCTTTAACTTCTAAAATTGTGGTAATAATAATATAATAATCTAATCATAAACTTTTTTTTTATTTACTACCTTAATATATACTTTGTACTAATGATTATTTATATATCAGTCGGTGATTTCAATGTCTAAACAACTAGAAATGTTCAAAGCATATATAGAGAGGCTTAAAGGTGTGGTTGGAGAGAAAAGAAAAAACTTCATCATAGCAAACACACTTTTCATTGTAGTAGCTGGAAGTGATGATCTTGCAAACACTTATTTTACTATTCGCACCCCCAGGAAACTTCAATATGATGTTCCTGCTTATACTGATCTTATGGTTAAAGAAGCTTCCAAGTTCGTTAAGGTACTTATTTTATTCATAAAATTATATAAAATAGAACAACAAATAATTATAGTAATTTTTTTTTTATAATTGAAGGGAATATATAAACTTGGAGCAAGAAGAATTGCAGTGTTCAGTGCACCACCTATTGGATCCATACCAGCACAGAGGACACTAGGTGGAGGTGTATTTAGAAATATCAATGAGAAATACAATGAAGCAGCCAAGTTATTTAACTCCAAACTCTCTAAGGAAATGGATTATCTTCGTTCTAGTTTGCATAATAGTAGGGTTGTTTATATTGACATATACGAACCCCTACTTGATATCATTCTAAATCCTCAAAAATATGGTGAATTATTCATGATTTAATTAATTTACTTAAATTATTTTGAAATATTTTTATTTAATATTTTTATAATTGATGATATGCAGGGTATAAAATTGCAGATAAAGGTTGTTGTGGAACAGGAAAACTAGAAGCATCAATTTTATGTAACCCTTTGACTCCAACTTGTGCTGATAATTCAGAATATGTGTTTTGGGACAGCTATCATCCTACAGAAAATGTATACAGAAAGCTTCTGGCTGAAGTTCTTCCAAAATATGTGGATCGCTTAACATGATATACTTGAACGTGTTTAAAGTGTACAATGGTTTCCATTTTTTAAGAGAGAATAAAATAATTATATATATATATATATATATATATATATATATATATATATATATATATATATATATATATATATATAATTGTAACTTGAGGGTTCAACTAGTAGAATTTTTTTTTACAATAACCAAGTATTAAAATAATATTTCGCAAATAACCGTGTTTCGGAAAAAATTACGCAAATAACCATGTTTCAGATGACTCCCCAAAGGAGGAGTCATCTCACTTGGCGCCTCCACCCCTAGTTTTGCCCTAGGCGCCATCTCACTTGGCGCCTCCCTTCACTTTTAGCCAAGTGATATGGCGCATGCACCTTAAAAGTGAGAGAAGGCGCCATCTCACTTGACTCCTAGGGAAAAACTAGGGCAAAATGCTGTTTTATAAATAATTCGTCCGTTTCTCCAAAATTTTGCACACTTTCTCGCACTGTCTTTTTATTTTTTACTCTGTTATTTGCGTCATGACGTCGCCCATGATTTTTAGCAGAGATAGTTACGTTATCTTCTCCGCCACGAAACCTGCGATGAAAATGAAATTCTGGCACATTCACTCCATGGAGCGTCTGAAGCGGGAGTTGATGCGATGGCTAGATGGAGACATTGCGGGGGGGGGGGGGGGGGGGGAATTCGAAGGATCCAGCGAAAACGAACAACAACCTCACATGCGACAGGAAGACCTAATGTATGGTTGGAGGAAGTCAAAACAGACAGCGATGTAATGCTGATGATGCATGGGTCAGATGAAATTGTGTTAACAGTTATAATTTCGTAGACGGAATATCGTTAATTTTTCTTGTACACGCAATATTTATTGTAGCAAAATCTGTTAACGGAAAACCCTAATGTTTACAACATAATTAAGAAAAAAATTTATGTATTACAATTTTTATGTGGTCGAGGCAGACGCCCGATTCGGACAATTTTTATGATTGTGTCCGACCTGACGGCATAAACCACACTTTCTTTCCAGCTTGTCAAGATCGTCCATTTCTGTTGTGAGTACTTTTGGGACGACCCTTCTTGTTCCTTCGCATTTGGTCATTGTGCCACACTATTTCGCCGTCGTATGCAGGTCAATAATCTGGTTTTGCTACCAAAGGAAAGTTGTTATTGTAAACGTTGAGCAACGTTTCAGATTTGTAAATGTGTGACAGAAGTTGCAGCGCGTCTTGATGGGTATGAGCACAAGCGGCAATGACATGAGAGCAAGACATACGAAATGCTTGAAACCTGCCACAATCGCACCAACGAGAAGGTAGCATGACCCTATATTCTTTTCTTGGCAGGCCTTCGTTGTGGTCGATTGTCTCTTTCACAATGAAGTTGTGGCTGTGTCGGTCAAACCGTATAACCATATGAGTGTTGGCTTTGGCACTTTCTGCCTTAATGTATTTCATGCAGCTTTCACTCCATAGTTGTCCAGATTACAACACCGCATTCCACATTTCACCTCTTTTGGCAAATAACGCAGCCATCCTAAAATACGTAGATTTTACCAAAGCAGTGATCAGGAGGTTTCGTATGCCTTTGAATACCCCATTCATCGATTCAATAAGATTCGTTGTCATGTGCCCCCATCTTTGGCCATTGTCGTATAATCTAGTCCATTTTTCCACCGGAATATTGTCGATCCACCTACCGGCTTCCGGATTTGACAAACGGATCTCGTTGCGGTAATATTTGAATGTGGGTTGTGTCAATGCATATCCCGCATTCATAACCGCTTTCCTTAGTGTTTTGTCCTTGATCTCCCTCGTGAAATTCTGGACTATATGCCTAACGCAATAGACATGCGTAGAAGGAGGGTCATGCCAACCGTTTGCAGGATTGTTGTAGGCACTTTCAATGGAGGCATGTATGTCCGAGATCAAACAGAGATCTGGTTGAGGAGCCACGTGTGTCCGCAGATTTTTCAGAAAAAAGCTCCAAGCACCACCGGTCTCCCCCTCGACAAGGGCAAAGGCAATGGGGAAAATGTTGTTGTTGCCATCTTGTGCAACTACCATCAGTAGCGTGCCTTTGTACTTCCTATACAACCAAGTCCCATCAATTTGTATAATTGGTTTGCATGATGCAAACCCTGTGATGCAAGGTTGAAATGCCCAAAACACTCGACTGAATATTTCGTTGTCGTTTAGTAGACTACCATCTTGGGCGTATGCTGGCATTGTTTCCAGAACGTAAACAGTACCCAGAGAATACGTCTTGAGTGCATTCAGGTAGCGAGGAAGTTCTTGGTATGACTCCTCCCAGTTTCCGTACACCTTTTCAATCGCCTTAGTCTTTGCTAACCACGCCTTACGGTAAGACGGAGTATAGTTAAAAATCGTGGTGATGTGGGAGATGATTGTTTTCACCTTCAAAGATGGGTCGTTGCTGACCAGTGGTTGGATTTCTTGACAGATGAGATTGTAATTAAGTTTTCGGTGCTCCTGTGATTGGGTAGAACTTACACAAGTGTGGGTAGTCATGGAACCTATGACCCAGCAGTCACCTCTTAATCTGTATGATGCAGTCAGCTTGAACATACAGTCAGGGTGGACACACTTGATCTTGTACCTTTCTGGGTTGACACGGTCCACCTTAAAATCAACCGAGTTGAGCATGTGGAATTTTTTTATGGCTCTGATGCATTCCTCTCTGTTACGAAACTTGTCCTTCTCTTTTAAATTTTCATCCGACTGCATATACAGATTGAAAAATAAGTCAGTAGACGGTTCATCTCCGCCCATGTTGAAGTTTGTCATGTGCGAAGGTGGTGTGTAGATCTCGTTTGCAGGAATACTAAGTATGCCATCATCTTCGGAATCATCATTCACCATTTCATCAAACTCTAACTCGTCATCTTCTTCTTCTTCATCAACTGCATCTACCTCAGCTTGTCATTCTCCAAAGGATCAACCACTTGTGTCACCTGAGGCTCTCGCAGCATAATGTACAACTCAATAGAGTCGTACCCATAATACACATGGCTGGAAAACATATTCTGGAGATCCTCGTCATCTTGAACTTCAACCTTATAAAAAATTATTTGGTTGTTTCCAAAAAAACTAGATTCTGATAAAATATCTGTGTCACCGGGTCTCGTCCAAGTTTGGCCTCCAATCGTTTTTTGAAGTACGAGAAATTGGCTTTCCCGTTTAAGAGAAATCGGATGTTGTCTGTGTCTCTAAACAAAAACCCAGCGGTGGGACAAATGTATGTCTCACTATTGAAATGTGCTTTGACGACATATTATGGTGCAGAGGCCATTGCATAGGGTTGTTTGAAGGTTTGAAGGTTGAAATGTTTGAAGTTTATGAGTTATTCGAAGGTTGGAATGTTTGAAGTTTATTGATTGTATGAAGGTTTGAAGGTTGTAAGGTTTGAAGGTTGGAATGTTTGAAGTTTATGAGTTATTCGAAGGTTTGTATGTTTGATAATTTGAAGGTTTGAAGGTTTGATTGTATGAACGTTTGAAGGTTGGAAGATTTGACAAATTAAGTGAATCAATGTTATGATAAACGTAAGACTAAAAATCTCATACTGAATTTCAATTAAGTAAGGATGTAACCCCCAAGGCTGCCAATAGTGTTACATGCATGGCATCCCAAAGGTTGTCACGTAGCCTGAGCCTAATCTGCAACCAATTACACCTCTTATTCGCCAATTGGGATGGCGACACCTTTCATTTTTGTACTCTTTCGCCAAGTCAAATGGCGCCTCCCTTAATGTCCAATCGTGTTACATGCATGCAGATATGTAACCCCCTAGGCTGCCACCTAGCCTGTGCCTACTCTGCACCTACACTGTATCTTGTAAGTCTCCTCCCATCACCTCCAATAGGGTTACATGCATTCAGGCATGGCATCCCAAAGGCTGTCACGTAGCCTGAGCCTAGTCTGCAACCAATGACACCTCTTATTCGCCAATTGGGATGGCGACACCATTCATTTTTGTACTCTTTCGCAAAGTCCAATGATGCCTCCCTTAATGTCCAATCGTGTTACTTGCATGCAGATATGTAACCCCCTAGGCTGCCACCTAGCCTGCGCCTACTCTGCACCTACAATGTATCTTGTAAGTCTCCTCCCATCACCTCCAATAGGGGTACATGCATTCAGGCATGGCATCCCAAAGGCTGTCACGTAGCCTGAGCCTAGTCTGCAACCAATGACACCTCTTATTCGCCAATTGGGATGGCGACACCTTTCATTTTTGTACTCTTTCTCCAAGTCTAATGGCGCCTCCCTTAATGTCCAATCGTGTTACATCCTTAGGCTGCCACCTAGCCTGCAAGAGTGACACATTTCATTTTTGTACATGCATGCAGATATGTAACCCCCTAGGCTGCCACCTAGCCTGCAAGAGTGACACTTCTCATGCATGCATGCACTAGCTACCACCTCACCCACTCTATGAAATTTTTTTGCCTATAAATACAGACCATATCATACATCTCTCACACCCACACAAGTCTCACTCTCTGCTACGAAATCTTTCATAATCTCTTACACTTTCTAAGTCTTTCATAATCTCTTACACTTTCTAACTCTTTCATAATCTCAAGCATTTTAAACAATGGCTCTTCTAACAATGGGCGATTCTCAGAGACACAAGGGAAAACATTGCCGCATTTGTAAGTTTCTATTTTGGTTATACATTTTTTATACTTCAGATAATGCTTTGTTCATCTTACTTAATCTTACACCTTTTACATTATGAACTCAGGATACCAAAAGATTCAGAATCCGTTTTCACAACTACCTGGCTCCCGACCCATTTATCGTACCATATCTAGAATACGCAGGTTTTGGACATGTTATAAAGATCTCCAACTGCACAATTAATTCGAAGTTCATTCTTGCAATGTTGGAAAGGTGGAGGCCAGAGACCCATATATTTCACCTACTAATAGGTGAATGTACCGTCACGCTAGAGGATGTGTACATGTTACTAGGTCTCCCTGTCGATG